AGTTTAAGTTAATTATAAGGATTTTTAAGGACATTTATTAGTACTTGTATCGGTACTTGGTATCGGCAAGTACTTTAATGTAAGTACTTGTACTCGTACTCGGTTTTCAAAAATCTGGTATCGGTGCATCCCTAGTGAAAACACACTGCTGCGTTCGACACTGACTGATGTTAACACGAGGGATCCTCGTTCACACTTTCTGCTGTTACACTTCTACAAGTTAGTTCATGTTGGAGGAATTCTGATCCAAAACATTACGGTTCATTCAGTTACAGTTAAAGCTGTTGATCTGTGTTTGTTTACTTTAACTCTTCCACGGTTTGGGGACGGGAGTGTTGTGAGTAAAAACACACAGGTGAGTTGGATGCATTCATTTTTAAGAAATGWAGAATAATTTTCTTGATGAWTAAGAAGTGGTGGATTAAGGCTGCAGGATAAGAGGGGCTAATATAAGTTTACTTCTGCCCACTCCTTTGGTTGTATAAAAACTGTATATTTGTAATGTTTCTGTTACTTTCTGTTGTTCAATAAAACAACTACAACATTTCATCAAGATGTTTCTTAAAGTTTAAAAATAATAATGTTGGTAACAAAACTAAATGATTTTGTTAGAATCTCGTCTTTCACACATTTCTACAAGCTGGGAGAACAGTTTCAGTCAGATGTTTACATACAGTAGTTTTCCTCTACAGTACGAGAGGAAATCTTTACAAACAAAAAGTCACCATCTCAGACCCTGTGGATCTATTTCCCCAAATATAAATGAAATCAATCCAAGATCAATTAAACCTATTTTTCTACCCAGCCCTATTGTTTGTATGAACTTCTCGCTGCAGAGCTCAGTAAACAGATTCGCTGCTTGTGTCAAGTGATAATTCATTTATCCAGAAAAAGATTTTTTATTTATGCCTAATGTTTACTAAATGTTTATTTTTCTTAATATTTTTAGTGTTTATTGAACCAGGGGTCAGAGAATAAATGAATTTCAGTCCTGTGTATGTCTCGTACATTCTGCAGACTGGACAATAAAGTTGACTTTAGTGACCTCTGCTTCATGTAGCCTCACTTCTCACCTGCCTCCCTCTCATTAACACCTCTGTTTCACTACAACTTTCACTTCCCTAAAATCTCATCAAAACCCTTAAACAGTTTATTAAAATGTAAAAAATAAATAAATAAACAAAAACAAATAAATCAGACACTCACATCTCCACCAAAATCTGTCTCTGCTGGGGGTCCTCCATTGAAGAATCTGTGATGTGTAGAAGAAAAACTTGTGATTAAATGAAAGCAGTGATACACGAAACTGTTTTTATCTTTGGGTAATATTTACTCAATGGCTGGAAGTATGTAGTTTTTCCTCAAAGACTCAAAGTATGGTCCGAGGTTTGCTGTGCCTTCGATGACAAACACCACATCAGCCACCTGACTGGAACCAGGGTTACTGGGCGGCTCCATGGCAGCTGATCTGGACACGAAGAGGGACAGAAGTTATTTTAATACACTTTTAATGTAAGAATGTTATTTTTAGAGGTGATGTCCTTAATTATGGGAGATCAGCCGATACGTAGGGGGATGTTGACGTTTCGTCGGCAGGAGCTGCCATTTTTCTTTCCAAACTGCTGTGACTGGATTGTGTGACGCTACTCTGACTATTTGATTATTTCCTCTTGTTCCCTTGTTATTTATTTCTACCATAGACTTGGATAAGATCACTAGATTGAGCCCCGCCCATCCTGTCCACTGGTAGCATCTGTGACATCAGGGAGGAGCAGAAACAGACCAAACAGGACAACAGCTCACAGCAAACATAGAAACTAA